TGGTACCAGACTTGTCTGGGAGGATAAAAAAACACTGTACTTGTACACCGGCTGGCCCAAGCAAGTCATTGTATAGGCCACATCGCATTCAAACGCCACTGCGAATGTACAAATGGAAGTAGAATGCGTGCCGCATCCCAAAAAGGGATTGATCAACAACAAATGCTTTTTATGCTTTTTAAGGTGTTCGAAGCGTGGACAGCGCAGTAGCGCATCACTATTGGATGGAAGCTAGATTAAAGGCATACCCCAGGATCAAACTGGAGTGGTTCGTGTCGGAAACTTTTGCGTTAGAGGAAAAAAAAGGTCGCCTCCGCTATGTGGCTTTGCTGAGGCTACCAGAGTCTGAGCGCGAAGAGGAGAGTATGAGGCAAGAGAGCGCAACAGATGAGAGGGCGCCAGACAACAGCCTGGTGTGGAAGGAAAATTGCAGCTTCTGCAGCTACTTTGCAAGTCCTAGCGTCTTGTCGGGTGATTTCCTCTGCACGGGAACGCCACATCTATGATTGCCCTGCAGGGCTCTATCCTACAGACCAAGGGAATCGTTCATACGATTTGTGTATGGTCCAAAGAATATCGTACCTGTCGGGAAGCATAACAACGTGGTTCATGTCCGGGAAGGGAATGGCGTTTTGTTCATAATTCAACCTAAGGGTATCTCCATCGCGAAATATCAAAGAATTCGAAAATTGACGCGTGTGAAGGCGAAATACATGCATCTGACGGGGCCCATGCAAGGGCTTGGCGTCATCAATCGGGGGGCTATCTCAGAAAATGTCTCTATTCAGCAGTATCCATCAGTTGAGAAACCAAGATTTCAGCACTTTGTCAGGGTATAGTAACAAGAGGTAGAAGAATACGCTCTCGGAGCGCTACGGAAGCCTCATTCTACTCAGGAATTCGTACACTTTCAAATTTCCGATTCTTTTTTGGTTGAGCCGAATAGTTAAAATATATAGTTCAAGAAAATCGAAGCTGATTTGTAGGGATTCCTGACAGGACAAACTGGACAAGATTTCAAAACTGGCACTGTTTGTTCGTAGTGATCCACTCCCCAAAGATAGCATTGTCTCTGGTTATACGTATGTAGTAATTCGACTGTTTGCCACTTTGTAGCTGTTTTGAGACTGATTGCAACCCTACTAAAAAGCTGCTACACCTTTTGTAACGCCTCCGTTCCATGAATATTTGCACAGCTCGATGCGCTCAAATAACGAATGTGACTATTTGCATGGCAATTGAATGGAGCAATAAGGTGTTCCAATTTTGTACGACAACAAGTAAAACTTCCCAAAAAGTTCAAACAACGGCAAGGGAAACGTTAAAAAACGGTATCAGGCCTGTGCTCCGAGCACTGAAGTAGGCCGAGGTGAATAGTCTCTTCAAAATTTTGCAGATCCACTAATTGACGGGCAATTAATTCATTATGGAGAACAAATACATAGGACTGGCCATACATAATCGGCCCAACACCCAGATCTATGTGCATTCAATCGCTTCCACAATTCCAGTTGAGGATCTGAGGCTTGGCGCAGCTTATACCGTGG